TTACCCCCCCCCCCAAATGATTGTGATCCAGACATTTTCCATCAGTTTCTTTTCAGATATCATTCATTATCAAACTATCTCATAGTTTTTTATAGCGAGGACCTGGCATGGCTGAGTGGGTCACAGGTTCAAATCCTGTCACTGAATGCGCACACCCTTTTCTCCATGGAGGAGTTATAACCTAATGGTCAATTGTAAAGATTAGTGGAAGAATTTACAGTGGATAGTTTTGACTAGCTGCTTTCCCTCAAGTCTATCACTTGTAAATTAGGGCTAGCACAGATAGATGTTAAGTAGCTTTGCACAAAATTTAACAAACAAACAATTCTTTATATGTTACTTTTTCAACTGAGTAACTACCACAAGGATGTAAATGTTCTACGTGATCTCTCTTGATGTAAACCAGTTACTGATGTCACTCCTTTCATTGGGAACTATGTTGTATGTAGTTTCTTTTTCATACTGTTTTTGTTTGTTTAAATTTTTTAATTGTGCTTAAATTATATCCTTCTGACTTACCTTACAAACAGTTTTTTAAGAAAACTTCAGTGCTTTTGGAATACCTTTTATTAATACAGAACTTGTCCCTGATATTGTTATTATGGTAGAACTTAAGAACTTGTCCCTGATATTGTTATTATGGTAGAACTTAAGAACTTGTCCCTGATATTGTTATTATGGTAGAACTTAAGAACTTGTCCCTGATATTGTTATTATGGTAGAACTTAAGAACTTGTCCCTGATATTGTTATTATGGTAGAACTTAAGAACTTGTCACTGATATTGTTATCATGGTGGAACTTAAGAACTTGTCCCTGATATTGTTATTATGGTAGAACTTAAGAACTTGTCCCTGATATTGTGATTATGGTAGAACTTAAGAACTTGTCCCTGATATTGTGATTATGGTAGAACTTGCCATAATCACAATGTCAGGGACAAGTTCTGCCATAATCACAATGTCAGGGACAAGTTCTACCATAATCACAATGTCAGGGACAAGTTCTACCATAATCACAATGTCAGGGACAAGTTCTACCATAATCACAATATCAGGGACAAGTTCGTAGAACTTGTCCCTGACATTGTGATTATGGCAGAACTTGTCCCTGACATTGTGATTATGGCAGAACTTGTCCCTGACATTGTGATTATGGCAGAACTTACTCTGAAGTTAATCTCTTATAATAGTTTTTAAACTAGATCCAAAACTAGAGTGCTTTCAAATAGTTCACTATTCTTTATTCTCCTGAAGAGTAATAGTGAACTATTCAAAAGTGCTCGAGTTTTGGGTCTCGTTTGAAAACCATTACAACTTTTGTATGTGTGCTAACTTAGTGCTCGAGTTTTGGGTCTCGTTTGAAAACCATTACAACTTTTGTATGTGTGCTAACTTAGTGCTCGAGTTTTGGGTCTCGTTTGAAAACCATTACAACTTTTGTATGTGTGCTAACTTCTTAATCAGAGTTAATCTCTTCTTCTCTGTCAGAAGATTATCATTCTTTTTTTGTATAGTCTCAGGTTTATCATATCTTTTATTTTGTTTCTATGTTGTTAACCTTCAGTTCTGCATTTTTAGCTTTGGGTAGTCTTCAGAATGTTTTAAACTTACCCCATTTCTCTAACTCATGGGTAGACTTGCAGAACCTTGTTTCTATGCAGTTACCTGAAACAATGTGACTTCTGATAAGTGCTTCTATTTTTCTGCGTAAACAATACTTATATTTCTCATTAGGTGGTTTTATTTAATCTGAAATCTCTCTTGTAAGAATATGTCACCAACTTGCTGTCCTTACCAGAAGTGTCATCCATGTACACCAGCTCATGTACTTCTGATTTTCTTGTTAGTTTGTCAGTTAGTCCTACGTTTTAATGTTCCATCGATTGTTGTGTTAGTTTGTCAGTTAGTCCTACGTTTTAATGTTCCATCGATTGTTGTGTTAGTTTGTCAGTTAGTCCTACGTTTTAATGTTCCATCGATTGTTGTGTTAGTTTGTCAGTTAGTCCTACGTTTTAATGTTCCATCGATTGTTGTGTTAGTTTGTCAGTTAGTCCTACGTTTTAATGTTCCATCGATTGTTGTGTTAGTTTGTCAGTTAGTCCTACGTTTTAATGAGAGTTGTGTTACTTTGTCAGTTAGTCCTAAATTTTAATAATCCCTGGAGAGTTCTGACAGACAGTGCTATATTTGTCTGCTGGACTCATGCTGCTTTCTTTAGTATGATAATTTAATATACTTGTCTGTCTAAATGTGCTGTACTATAATTTTAGAATTCAAATCAAATTCAATAAGTACTTATTAAATACAGACACTCATATAGAATTCTCATTTAGTGAGAATTTTTATCTCCACTATTATTAGCATACAGGAGTCTACTAAAGTTCTTTAAAAGACATCATTAATTGCATATCCCTTGTTTTTTTCCTTTTCTTCCTCAGAAATCATTAAGTAAATTCTGTTACACAAATTAGTCAAACAGAATTGTTTCAAATTAATTAGACACTGAAATAACCAGAAACAAAAAATTTTATAGAGTAGCATGGAATGAAATTCTAACTTAACATCATTTCTCAGAGTTGATTGTTTGAAACAAGAAAAAAAGACAAGACTTGGTTGTAAAATACAAATAATTCAGGGTTAAGGCAAGTAGAATAAAACTAATTGAAATGGATCAAAGTGCAATAGATTTTAAATCGATGAAACTGAATGACCTGGTTGAATTGTTTGAAAAACTAATTGAGGCTAGAGCAAGCTAGGTTTAATTATATAAAAACTGAAGTACATATAATAGCAGAATTTAAGAAAGTGAAAGGGTATTATAACCTTAGTTATGTCTCTACAGACAGACATACTCCTTTTCTATTGTTTCTTCTTCTTTCAAACACTTTTCAAATGACTGCCATTTGGTACAAAAATACTTTTCTGCAGGTCTCACACATTGATAAACAAAAATGGTGGACTTGCTTAATTTTAGTAATTATGGTGGGTCAAGATGTCAAAAAAAAAAAATTTTAGGGAGGACGTTGACAATTACTCTGCCATATTTTGGCCAATGACTGCCATTTGGTACAAAAATACTTTTCTGCAGGTCTCACACATTGATAAACAAAAATGGTGGACTTGTTTAATTTTATTAATTAGGGGGGGGTCAGGATGTAAAAAAAAAAAAAGAATAATTTTAGGGGGCATTGACAATTACTCTGCCATATTTTGGCCAATTTATATGGGGTTTGGTACAAAGACACTTTTTAACAGATATATAAACAATTTTGTCTGAGTTAACCTACTTACAAGGGGGTTTGGTACAAAGATACTTTTTAACAGATATATAGACAATTTTGTCTGGGTTAACCTACTTACATGGGGTTTGGTACAAAGATACTTTTTAACAGATAGCAATAGTGATGAAATTATTCAATTTTAAAACAGTGTCTTTGTGACAATCTTGCTAGGCTAGGCCAGCCAATCGCATGATGAAATTATTCAATTTTAAAACAATGTCTTTATGATATTCTTGCTAGGCTAGGCCAGCCAATCGCATGATGAAATTATTCAAGTTTAAAACAATGTCTTTGTGACATTCTCGCTTGGCTAGGCCAGCCAATTGCATGATGAAATTATTCAGTTTTAAAACAATGTCTTTGTGACATTCTTGCTAGGCTAGGCCAGCCAATTGCATGATGAAATTATTCAGTTTTAAAACAATGTCTTTGTGACATTCTCACTAGGCTACGCCAGCCAATAGCAAAATTAAATTAATCAATTTTAAAACAGTGTCTTTGTGACATTCTCACTAGGCTAGGCCAGCCAATAGCATGATGAAATAATTCAATTTTAAAACAGTGTCTTTGTGACAATCTTGCTAGGCTAGGCCAGCCAATAGCATGATGAAATAATTCAATTTTAAAACAGTGTCTTTGTGACAATCTTGCTAGGCTAGGCCAGCCAATAGTATGATGAAATTATTGAGTTTTAAAACAATGTCTTTGTGACATTCTCACTAGGCTAGGCCAGCCAATAGCATGATGAAATTATTCAATTTTAAAACAGTGTCTGTGACATTCTCGCTAGGCTAGGCCAGCCAATAGCATGATGAAATTATTCAGTTTTAAAACAATGTCTTTGTGACATTCTCACTAGGCCAGGCCAGCCAATAGCAAGATGAAATTATTCAGTTTTAAAACAGTGTCTTTCTGACATTCT